AGTTATATTCATTGTATACTGCTGACTATAGATCATCTAGTGAGCTTTGCCCAGTTGTAAAATTCGCTGATGATACCAGCACAATCGGCCTCATTATCTCAGATAACGACACACATTATCGTAACGAAGTAAAAAGGTTTGTTGGATTTTGCGACAATAATTACCTACAAATTAATACTACAAAATCAAAGGAAATGATTATTGACTTTAGAACCAAACATAAATTTCAATTTCAACCAATAACCACAAAAGGAGAAGAAATAGAAATAGTTGATAATTATAAATATCTGGACATTGTTTTTAACAATCGATTGAGCTGGAGTGACCATATTGACTTCCTGTGTAAAAAATTAAATCCTAGAATGTATTGTTTGAGAACTCTATTTAAATTTAATTCCAGTGAACCTATGTTGCTTTCTTTTTATAGATCTGTTGTTTGTAGTGTTTGGACATATTGCCTTGCTTGTTGGGCTGGTAATGCTGCCGGAGTGGATAAAGGACGTTTGACACTTTCATCCGTCAGGCTTGTAAAATGATTGGTCTACAGTTGCCCTCCATTAGTGAGGTGTATCTAGAACATCTTCAGAAAAAAATTCCATCGAATTGAGTTAGATACCTCTCATCCACTCCATTATGCTATTATTAACCAACTTAATCCAAGTGGTAGAATGAGGCTACTCAGAGCAAAAACAAACCGTTATGCGAAGTCATTTATCCCCTCCGGCATCACCCAGTTCAACAAGAGGTTTAGAAGATAATTCATTATCAATATAATAACATCAATAATAATTTTAACTGTATTGATTACGATAATGATAATAATAATAATAATAGTAATAATAATAATAATAATAATAATAATAATAAATATAAGAATAAAAATAATCATAATTGTAATTTAATTATTTTATCGATGGTAGTCATTGTATTTTACTTGTAAATTGTTATATTTTTTATAGTGACTGTTTTGTATGTTTTTATATTTGTTTTACATTTTTTAATATATGTGATGACGAGCAGAAGAATTTTTCCCTTGTGTGATAAAGTTATCTTATCTCTTATCTTATCTTAACTTTTTCACCAATACTTGAGACAAAACCACCGAATCCTGGAACAAGTTGTTTCTCTACGCTCCCCACTGCACGTACCGTAACCAGATATGATACTCTCAGATGCACTTTACAGTTTAGCGCAGGCAGAATGGATGCAGCTCCCTCAGACAGTTTTTGGCCCAACACGACCATATATACACTGATGCCATGTTCTTGGCCATATCCACTCTCATGAGCGCATCTTGCTTCATGCGTAGACAGTTAGCGTCTGAAGCATTTTCTCCTGATTGCTGGCTCCAAACTTGGGTTTCACCTCCTGTACTATGACTCCAGCACTGTTCAACACCTTTGAACCAAGAATGTTTGTCATAATTTTGTTCAGATTTTCAGATTCATCATCAGCTCTTGTCGAGGTATCCACTTCCCTCACTCCTCAGCTCAACAGCATATTTCATCTCGAGTGGGACAATTAATTGAACAAAATTATTACAAATATTCATGGTTCAAACTGTGTTGAACAATGCTGGTGGACTTAAGGTACAAGAGGTAAAACCCGGGTTTGAGCTTTGGATGCGTCTACAAACGAAGCAAAATGTGCTCCTTGAAAGGGGATATAATCGTGACCCTGGCACCATTTCAGGATGTGCTGGGCCCAAATTTGCCAAGAGAGCTGTATTCAATCTGCCTACGCTGAACAGTGTAACAAAGTGCATTCAAGAGTATCATGTCTGGTTACTTGCATAATGGTAGCAGCGGAGAGAAACAACTTGTTTCAGGATTTGGTGGCTTTTTCTCAGGTACTGGTGAAAAACTCTTCTGAAAGCCATCGGCTTGGTAACTTCAAGCAAGCTAATAGGCCGATATTCTGTTGCAACAAGCCTTGAGATTTTTCTTAGATTATTATGTACCACTCTGATAAATTTTATGATGATCCGTTTTGTGTCATCTTGCTAAAAGGCAGACAAACAACAGTGAATGCAAAACCTCCTTTGCGGCAGTAATAAAAAAGTATGTGTAGAGCGGGTCCCCCATTAATTATAGTCATTTAAAGAATTACATGATTTTATAAGGAATTTCCTTTGTAAAACATAAACAAAAAAGACCATTGGATGTAACAGCATGTGTAGTACAATAATAAATGTACAGTAGATTTATTGTGAAACTAAACATTGCATCTGACTGGTGTTCATTGGTGTGTATAGCATTTGTGAACAGGGAGCTTGAATCACATTGGCCAGAAAAATATGGTCATTGAGTTTGACCATTAGTTTTTAGTTTGTAGTTGGACTGACATTATTGTTTTAATTATTTTTTATACCATACATTAGGCCTATACTATTAAAAAGCGCTTTTTCACCAGGATCAGAACGTTTTGTATTAAATTTTGAGTGTAAATAGAGTGACTTCTCATATTTTTGTAGTTTCAATGTATCAAACCTGCTTAAATCATAGGTCATGGATCTCAATCAATTCCCAATGACAACATTATTCTGAAAAAATTGGTTATTTCTTTGTTTGTATAATATAGGAGAAATGTTAATCGGATAATCAATGCTCATTTAAAAGACAATGTGGCCGCTAATGTGACCGCCAATATAGCTGCCAAAATGGCTGGGCAATGTATTACGAAGTCAATGTTTTGTATTGAGAAAATAAACACTGTTTATACCATAGGCCTATATATGAGGTTCATTTGATTTTATATGATTATATTAATGATTTTCATTGACAATCCAATATGGCCGCCAATATGGCCGCCAAATGTATTGTGAAGAATTTTTTGTATTGAGAACATAAACACTGCTTACTATATACATTTAGAGATTCATTTGATTGTACATGATTTTAAGTTAATAAATTATGTAAATAATTGATTTTCATTCAAAATCCAAGATGGCCGCCCATATGGCCGCCAAATGTAAATGCGAGGTCAATATTTTGTATTAAGAACTTAAACACTGCTTACTATAATACATTTAGAGGTCAATTTGATCTATATGATTTTCAGTTAATAAATTATGCAAATAGTTGATTTTCATTCAAGATCCAAGATGGCCGCCAAAATGGCGCCAAACGACCCCATGGGACAATTTTTTTCGATGGGAACATCAAAATTCGTTCATCACATACTTTTAGGATTACATAAATGTTAGTTAAAAAAATATATCTTGGGGTACATGGGAACCCCCCCGTTCCTACTAGACTATATGTCTTGTGACGGGATGGCCACTTTGAAGAGTGATTAAGTTCACTATTTGGCATATCATTGGCTTTAGTGCCTAAAGCTGAATAAAGTAAAATGAAAATGCTACGGTACATAGACGCAGTAAAATATCGACATTTAAATTTGAAATACGGTTTATTATTCTAAAGATTTTATATATGTTCTCCAGAAGATTTTTGAAGAGGAATATACATATTTATATAAACATTTTACAAATTGCACCTTTCTAAATAATTTCAAAATTGATTATTAAACATTAATTTTGACCGAATTCGAACAGATTCTCAATACGAACCAAGTACTAGGCCTATATCTGTCTACACTTACTTATGAATAGGTAACAGATCATTTAAGGCTCATTATTGACATTTTATAGCCCTCAAGGGGAAAAAAAGTGAATAAAGTATTATACATTATCGTATAAGATAACAAAGAGCCAACATTTGTGTCAATATACATGAAGTTAACAATAAATAACATTAGGTGTTAAACATGAATATTGATCGCATTTTCATTAATAGTTTGCCTGGTACTACGCATGGCCATTCAAGTTGTTTGCTGTTCGCAGTATAAATTATAGATATTATCACACAAAAAAAAAAAAAAAAAAAAAATTATCACAAAACATTTAAGACGAAATTATTAAGAATAATCGATATAATAAATACTACATTTCATAATTTTGAATAACACTCAATTGCTAAATTTTACACTCTTAATGAAACATACGTTAACCATGTTAATACTATAGGGAATTCATTACACCATGTACGATCACAGATAAAACACTTATAAGGTGATTGTTTCATGTATGACTTTTTGATGGAAATAATTTTCGGATGTTAATGAAATACATTGTCACAAGATTTTATCCACTGACAGGTAGCATAACATCAGCCATCACATCTGCTTCACCTGGTATGAGGATGGTATCTGATGGACATGATTTCCATGACAACTGTGTGCAGAGGGAACTCAAGTCACCGGGCTTACAGATGGCGGTTTTACATTTCACTAAAACCTGGAAGATGAAAAATAAAAAAAAAACTAAAAAGAAAACGCTAAATTTTATGCAATATATTATATATATGGCTAATTTCACTCACTTTTTAAAATTTTAGAATTATTGCAATAAACCATAATGACAACTGGAGCGACAAAAATCCTAAGCATAAAGAAAATCTCTGGGAATTTTTAGTAATTTCAAGTAGGCATATTATATGAAGAAAAGTTAATATAATAAATCAACAGGAACACCAATATTATTATGTAGTAAATGTCCGAATCTCTTGTGTTTACCTCTGGTGTTCTTGATTATTTTTATGGTATCACTGCTAAACTCTTCACAATGTATGTTAGCATTACCGCCAAACAATTTAGAGTAAATTTATGCATAATTACAATGATAATTACAATGTAAAACGATATCAGTAGTACTTAATAGCAGATAGACGTCGTCGTGAAATATACAGTGATAATTTGCATTCTAATCGATGTCATTTCTGAGGGCGCTATTTCTATTTCTAGCAAGTCAATTAGAGATAGGCTTTGTATTTACAATTTGTTGGTGTCACTGTTATCAATATTATATACTGCTTACCTCTTCTGTAGATCCGTAAAACAGAAAGCTAAATGCTTCTACCGAAAACCTCTTCTCATATCTTGAGTATGCCTGCTCAAATCGAACGGTGCTGTCGACGGGACATCTATTATAAATAATAGTCAAACGTTATTTTAGTGTTTTTAGTGAGTCAAGATGAAAACAATCATCCACCATAAAAAAAAAAAAAAAAAAAAAAAAANNAAAAAAAAAAAAAAAAACAAAACAAACAAACAAACAAAACAGAAGAATTTATCAATATAAAACTCTAAAGGCATACATTTGTTTTTGTTCCAGTGGTCGAATATTTTATTGGAGTTCTACACAATGTTAAGGAATTTTGGTGTATATAACAATTTGAATGTGCTTACCCATCTTTGATAAACGTATACTGCTCAGGTTTACATCCTGGCTTTTGTCTCTGAGTTGCCGTGCAACTGACTATCTGAAGATCTTTGGCTTTGTTTACCGCTTCGAGACCGAAGAACATCCTTTCCTTTAGTTCAACGGATGCTGGTAAATCCTCTTTTCTATATTCACGGCTATATGTATCGTCCTCATACAGTTTCAACAAAGTGTTGAGCCTAGATATTCCACGGACAGTAAACGCTTCCATAGCGTCTGATGGCGTGAAGCTAACATCGTAGTAACTTAAACCCTCGACTTCGCACGTAACATTGATTTTGACCATGCGATGAGTTCTGGTGACTGGGAGTCCTTTTGCAATTGCTTTAGGTACGTCGCGAACAATGTTTGTGAAAATTAGTCGCCCAGGAGTTGGTTCCTGCAGGTAAAAGAAACAATAGCATTTTAAGTGCATGAGAACAGCATGAGGCGTGTTCACTCTCCTTAGGCTCCATAAAAAAATTATTAGTTTATCACCCCCTCCCTCATCACTTTTGGGAAAATTTTTGTTTTTGTTTTTGTTTTTGTTTTTTTTTTGTTTTTTCAATCAACATATATATTTATCTCAAAAAGTCGTTTTCCCATCTTTTTTCACTTGAAACATCAGGATTTCTTGCAACTATGTTTACTGGTAAAATAAAAAACTGGTACAATTAAATATAAATTTGATTCCATTTTTATGACTTTTTATAAATTTATCATTTACCATTGATTTACTTATGCGAACATTGGTAAAATGGGGGCGGGGTTAGCAAAAAAAAAACCAAAAAAACAAAAAAAAAACAAAACCTCCCTCCTTCATCAGTTTTTATTCTTTGATAGGGTGATAAACTAATGATTTTTTATTGGGCCTTATCAGACAGGTAGTGACTTTAAAACATATGCTGTACTCGATTAAAACACTAAATGGCTTTTATTTATTTTGACATCTGTAGCTTCGCAAACAATATCGAACGTAAATGACAAATAGGCCTACCAAATAGCAGGAAACAATGTACCACAGAGCATGGGTCTACTCACCTTAGAAAAGGTACCACATTCTTCGAAACCTGTTTTCATTATGTAGTGAGTGGAATTATATGATTTTGCGTAACAGTTCCTGTCCCAAGCATCGATGAATCTAAGCTTATTAGGTCCGACGCCCTCTACGTAATCACGTGGTATGTACACGGTCAGACTAGATGGACCACACTCCACGGATGGTTCAGGTGTGGGAGCTATAATATATAATTGAGATAGTTTAAAAAAAATTATTTGGAGAAAAGAATAATAATTTTGAATTACTATCTGTTCTGTTATTTTTTTGTAAATGCTTTATAGGGAATGTATAGTTATTTTGGGTCGAAATTTGGGCCGATCAAGACAACATGCCCCCGCGAACTTTTTGTGTTCTAGACGGCCGAAAATAACATCTGAGGCGCTCTGGGCTATCATTTTTTTCTCTTTCTTTATTTTTTTACCCCCTTTTTTTTATTACCTCCCATAAGGTGGTGGGGGCCGCTCCCACCCCCCTAAATCCGCCCCTGCAAATAATCATTAAATACGCTATGGTATATTTATAAAAACAGAATTAGAAACCCCTGTATTGAATTTGAAAATGAGCAAAAAATAAAACACTTACGAGTTGTTATAAGCCATGACAAGAAATCACTAGGCTTAAATCCACAGTCGTACCCACAGGCGTCTACACATTTTTGTCCAGCCGTTCCCTGGTCCACACTCAGCACGTAAGCAGTACCTGGTTTTAGTTTACTATATGGGTTATCGATGGCCATAATGTCAGGTTTGTTCTTTGTTATTTTGACTTGTTGCTTGTCGGATACATCGTATTTAGCTGCTACGTTTCCCATCGTGTCCATGATAGATATAAACGTTGGCTTATTTGGCCTTACGACCTATAGGATAATATCAATTAAACCTCATTGAAATTACGCAACAAATTAGTAGATGGTTTAAATGAGTTTTGTAAGAAAACTTTATTTAATTTTTGTTGAAATACAAGTTTCCTGATGCGGAAAGTATAATAAAAGTTAGTTGATATCACTAAATCGAATTATATTCTGCTTCATGATCTGCAACGTTATTAGTTTTAAAAGGTTGATATTAATTTAACCTAATTCCTAATACTTTCAGGTTGCTTATAGTATTTAATAATAATAATAATAATAATAATAATAATAATAATAATAATAATAATAATAATAATAATAATAATTGAGAATTTATATAGCGCAAATTAAAGAACAATGTTCAAATCAAATGCGCTTTAGACTGAAAGTTATGTTTCCTTTAAACATAATGTTTTGATGTTAGCTTTGAAAGTGGATGTTGTAGAAGATTGCTTACGATGTAATGGTAAACCTCTATACATTGTATTATATTATTAGGCCCTATAATATAAATAAATAAATAAATAAATAAATATATATATATATATATAAACCATTAAATAAAGGTAAATACAGTGTAAAGGACATATATATATATATATATTTATATATATATATATATATATTATAATAATTTACAACGAACTTACTGCTTTGTCAAATTTGATTTTCCACTTTTTCATATCTGGGGTGACTTCAGTGAGTGGAGCAGGATAGGAGTCCATAGGCAACAGTTTTGGTGGTGTAGGTTCTTCTACTTCAATCGCTTGGGCTAAATAAGAAGAAAATATAGTTATGATAAAACTTTACATTTCAAGTTGAGTACGACGAATACAAGTATACATACATTTCTGAAAAACAAGTATACATGAACATTTTTATTCTCGATTCAAAACTAAAAATTGGTTTCAATAAAAATTCAAAATTTATTAATATTTATTATTTAAACACGTTTTAAATTATTGTTATTTATCATTATATTAATTGCTGGTAAGTTTGGTAGTAATTTATTATAGTAATTAAGACACTCACGTTTAACCAAGATAGTAAGAGTTTCATAACTGCTGTAATACCTGTAAAAAAGATCAAGTTTGATAAAACAAATTATAACATTTGAGATTTGTTTTTCATTTCTATTTTTCTTACCCCTGCGTTAAAGTTGAATTACTCCCCCTACCGTTCTACCGTCAATCTGCATCCGACGGTAGAGAGGATCAACAAATTATAGGGGCGGAAAAATACCAATCCCACCAAATTATAATATAATTATTTGTAACAATATTATAACACTGGTTTTACAAAAAATTGCAGCAATTCGTTTTCATGCCTACCCATTTTTGTTCATGTATATACGTCATTTTTTTTTGTGATATACTGGCCAAAATTACTCATACAGTTATTGTTTATGCCGACCACCTGTCAGAATGTTTAGAATGCCTTCATGTTTAGCCCATGCTTGTCCGTCAGTGTTTATGGCTACACGTCATTGGTTTATAAATGCCTATCCGTCAACAGTTATGTCTACCGTATTTTTCATTTTATTGGAGTTTTCTCTCAACGCTTACCCGTCATTGTCAACAGCATGGAAGAGTACAAAGTGTTTTCCGAGGTCTGATTCTTTTGGTGTCCAAGATACAACCCTGCTAGAATGATTGCCCTTCTTCTCCAATGGAGTCATATTGAAATCTAGGTTTGGTCGCTCAATAACCATAATTTTAACACTGAAATATAAAGAAAAGGCCATTACTATTGTATTGTATTTAGCAGTAGACGAATACAGCATTAACAACTTAAATATAGTAGTCATATGCTTGTTTAACTTACTCATGACTGCTGTAAGCCTTCAGCTCATAGCTCCAGTCTTGACCAGGTGTGATAACGTGGCATCGTTTATAATCGCCGAAGTTAATATTCCTGCATTCACCTATATATAATGATAAAAATTGTAGATATGTTTCCAATAGACCTATATACAAATTTGGCATGTCTAATGAAACTGAGGAATAGGATATACCGATATTTGTATGCAATGAAGCCTACACTGTACTAAATTAATGTATAATGCAAACCGATAGTAGCACTTCGATGTGTATGTATTATACATAAGACTATACCCAATCAGCATAAAAGAAAATCGTACCCTTTGATTCGACCTTAATGAGAAACTGAAGAGGGATCTTGCTAAGAGCGCCACTTTCCAAACGCCCAGTAACACCTCGTCGGTGATCTTCAAGAGTGATTGGTACAGCATACCATCCCGGTTCCATTTGGGACACAGGGAAGGAATAACGGCATTCATTTTCATCGACTGTGGCTCCTGGAAAGGGATCTCCACACATGCGATGGTTAGAGCATCCACCACCATTGGAATTACAAGCTTGTTTAGGACACTCGTTATCTTTGTTTGTCCATCGGCACCTTACATCGTCATCATCAGGGTCGGCCACTACATAAAAACATAAACATGGAATTAGGTGTATTTTACAAATTATTATTATTATTATTATTCTTTCTTTAGGCACACAACACATGTGCCAAGGATTGCCAATAGCGAATATATATCACTGTCCTACTTGTAGGTGACAATCCCTTACACAAGACAAACATACACACACGATGCTTTACACAAACTAAATCTCAATATGAGACAAATATAAATATATGAATGGATTGCTTTATATGAAAACAGATGCAGGGGGTTTGTCCTTTACATGTGGCTTTAAATTGGCCAGTAATCAATTTGAGAATGTCATAGTGAAAAATCTTTTTGTACAGTATATGTACAGGTGTAGTAGTTGTGTGTATTTTTTGTGTGTGTATATTAAGCCTTTGCATATATTATTTGAATCAATATATATATATATATATTTTAATTTCCCTTTAGATTAAAATAATGCAGTTCCGAGTATAGGTTACCGTAGTAACCTAAAATGCACTCCATTTCTTATAGTCAACCGTGTACCATATCATACCGGTAGGCCTACTATTTCTTATACTCTCACATGAGTAGTTGTTAAGTTAGTTTAAGTTCCAGTTTGTTATCTTTTAAATTTGTAATCCCCCTTTCCATAATAAGTAGGCATATTAAGTAGTGTTTACATAGAAACAATTTTGTAGTTTATCATCTACCGACTGACCAATACGTAACTGGAACTCGAGTTCCAACGGTAAATTAAGTGATTGTTCGCTTACTCTCAAAGTAGGGGTAAAACACCCGCTCAAACTGTTAGTGGAGGTTTCAATCTCTGTTGGTTACGGATTGAATAAAATCCTAAAACTTAACTGGGTTAAAAAAAAATCGCCAAAGCTTTAGGACTTTCTACATCAAACATACGATTGATTGATTAGTAATATACTAATTGACTGATTAGTGTGGTAATACTCGATATATATGTTTACCTGGAATTTGAATGGACACGTCCCCACATTCCTTCATCAGAGTGATCATTGCTGGATGAGTCGTTCTAGGAGAGTTGTTGGGGATGTCCAAGTCAACCGTGGTGACCATTCTCCAAGCATTCCCGGCACCACCGTAATTCTTCAACTCCTGCATCCACTGGCTGTTGTAAGTGAATTTATTCGGTGTCTCTGACTCTTGATATCTGTTTAAAAAACGACAGATGATTATACATTCTTGTAAACGTTAACACCATTCATGTACTATTTTTTTTCTTTTTCCAAAGACGTGTCAAATCAAAAATTTACAAAACAATAACAGAATATTGACGAATTATCCTTAAATTAATATGAAGTCATAAAATAGAAGAAAGAATGGACCGAAATTAAGCAATCATATAGGGGAACAATGTAAAAAAGGATAAAGGATCACATAAGCCTTAATTGGTTCTCCGATTAATCCCTAAAAATCATAAAAGGTTATAATATAATTAATTATAATAATAGTAATAAAATAATTAATTATTATAATAGTAATAAAGGCCTAACAATAACAGCAATATTCATGTCCACGTTTTCAAGAGAGACAATGAATGTATTTGAACGATTTTAGAAACAATATCTAAATTCATAGACATTAGTTTTATCATAATTTGTAAATGTATTGTAAATTCTTGTAATTGATTTTTAAAAATGTCATTATTCTCTTTTATTATTGTTAAGTGATATATAATTATATAGTATAACAAAACAGTTTGAACTTTAGACAGGATAGGCTTATTTATACTATATTGTATCTTAATGTTTATCAATTTAAATTTTTGGGGCAGCCGACTCTCAATGGGTTAACGTTACTCATGCTGCCCCTTACCAAACTTAGAACAAAAAATCGTTTGAAACTCACGAAAGTGTGAATTGGCGCATTCCAGGCTCTGGTGTATACTTAAACGTGCCGACTCCTGTACTCCAATTCTCCAACTCGTCCCAACTTGTGCAGTTTAGGTTCAATTCTTTCCCGTAGATATCATGCTGATCACACTCCATACATAGCAATCGCCCTTCTCCTATTATAGTCAGCTTCTCATCTGAACACATAAATCTATTACCTCCCTCGTAAATTCGCATCCATGATACTCTCCAATGAATGTCAACCTGGGTTGAAGTAAACCGTATTAACAATAATATATAATGCTTCAAAATCAATTTGAACCTTAAGGCCAACTCAGACAGCGTCGGCCGACGCAGCCCGACGCGATTTGTTGTCGCGTCGGGTCTGTGTGAGTTGAACGCAGACGCGATGATGTGCGTCGGGGGCAGTCGCGTAGTAGAATATTAAACGTGTTTAATATTTCTCACGACGGCTCAAGACTGTCCCCGACGATAAATCGGGTCCGGCTGCGTCGGCCGACGCTGAGTTGGCCTTTAGAAGTTATTACAAAGTAATTTATGGAGAAAATGTGGATTATATTGTAGTATATTGTGCCTATGCATATATCATCCCAACACCTTCAGTATGTGCAAGGTAAACATTTTTGCATCTACGTTACTACCTTAGGCACTTATTTGCCTATAGCCATACGTTATCAATAATACTTCACTGAGGCTATTCTTTTGTAGCATTCGATTGAAGGAAATGTCTAAAGAGACTGTAAGTACTTCCTGAATAAGATAGCAGGTAAATTGTATTTACTTTTCTGAAGTATGTTTTGTTTTGTGACATTGAAAAAGGCATTGCCTATTATTTCTTCAAGAGCATATGCATAGCAATAAAGATTTTTGTTCTTATTGAGTTCCTAGCTTACTCAAAACTATTACAAGGTTAATTAAAAAGATTAATAGAAAAAAATATTTAAGGGACAAAATTGTATATAATTATTTTGTAGTTATACATTGATTTACACAGGTTGGTCATTCCGGCCTAATTAGGCCTACGTATCCATACATAGACGAGTCAATTTGCTTACGCACATTCAGTATCATCTAATTATATGTTAGGCCTATATTGATATGGTAGAGATAAACTCTAATTCGTTTTGCAGTAATGATATTGTTAATCAGTATCAAATTAGAATGTTGGCGACGGAAAAAGTTAGGTATACACTCAGTATGTACTTAAGCGAAATCTAGCAATTCAATTCAAGTTTAGGCAGTAGCTTCTATTTAATAATTCAAATTAATTAGTCCAATGATTAATCAAATGATATTACACTTTGTAAACATTAATTATACAAAAATATAAAAGGGCCTAAACAGCATTTTTGACAAAAACGTATCATGCCAATCTGGACGGAGACAAAAGATTTTTGAATATTGTTTTGAAAATTCATCATTTTCTATAATAATTATTAATTAAATATTCTTACTTTGCCGTCTTCAGCTGGCTCCCAACTGAAGGTTCCACCTCGATAATGCTTTGCACTGACACATGCAACCACTAAAGCCATCAACACCAAACGTAAGCTATTCATTTTCACTTTACAAACTGTTAGAAAAATAAATAATAGTCAGTAATCCAGATAACATATAGTTATTAAAGCATGAACAAAGTTTATACACCGTTAATTAACTTTTTTTTAAAATTTGCAATTATCTTTAATTATCTGCTTAAGAATGCATTAATCAAAGTAATGAACCTAACGAGAACAAATACGGTACATATTATGCCCACTGGTGCTATTGTAGTTTTTACGGATTTTTACTTTTGAAAAAAGTTCAAATGGAAAAAGAAGTTTTCAATTGACGTTTCCACATTTCAAATTAACAAATCTACAAACATTAATTTAATTAATTAAAATATAGGCCTCTATACTAACAAAATAAATGATACAAATAATTAGTCACAATTATAATTTATAAACAAGCCATTTAACATTAAAAATAGCATTAAGGTATTTAACCTCCTTAACACGAGGTGTTCCAACTTACTTGCTATTTTCAATGGTGGAACTCTTCGTTTTAAAATGTCTTACTTTCTATCTCCTCTCTTGTTGCCCGTGGACGTTTGAATACCAGTCTCCATAACCATGCTCTATATATAGTCACTGAGGGTCAAACCCACGTGGTTACGTCGATCCATCCGGGCTCGATAGCTACCGGGTGCGGTTATTTTGATTTCTACAATTTCGTCGCGACAAATGAGGGCGGCGATAAAAGTGAGACTGCTTCCAAAAAAAGAGCCGGATACACGTCACATACAAGAAGGTCAATTGGTGAAACGTCACTGTGATACCGGCTGGTATATCAGGTGAATCACAGTAGTGAATCACTTAGCTTACTACTTTTGAGGCCAAGGGGTCGAGGGTAAATATTGGTTTTAAAATGGTTATCTAGTACACACGTGCATGACAACTTTTTAAAAGTGGGCTAAGTGGCGAGACATTAACTTCCTATTTTGTTTGGTATAACTATTTTATTTCAGGTTAGACATCATAAAGTCATAACATGAGTAGCTGCATAATCTAGCAATATATAATACAAATTGATATTGACAATTTATTAGAGCCCAGGGCTTTTTTACTTCCATTCTCTGTCTATTTCATTTTCAATTTCGACTTTCCCCATGTTGATGATATTATGATTATTCAGAAGTTCATTTGATGATAACCATACCATCTATTAAAAATAATGCTGAATATATCTATCACAGTACCATAGTTGCCTGAGTAATTAAATACTGTAGACCGACTAAATGCCAATAGTGTTGGTAATATTCGAGGTTTGAATATAGGGCCGTCGTCAACTGTTTACGAATTAGTTTTTCTGCGAACTATTTATTGTTGATAGAGACAATTGCATTTTTTATTTGTATCAGTATCGGTATCATTATCAGTTCTAGATCATTAATGGTATATTTGATATTTTTTATAAATCATTTTTATCTATGTAAATTAGAAATTAAATGTCAATTATTACAGATTATATAATAGTAAATTAAGTGTGTAAGCTTATGACAAAATAATTATTAGAAAATTTAAATTCATAACATACATCTTGTATTTGTAGAAATCTCTATTGAATGCTCTAGGCCTAGGCCTATTTGAATGAATATTAGTTATATGCAGATATTTCAGTGACATTAACCTTCCCATATGCGTGATGCAAATTTTAATAATAATAACAATAATAATGATAATGATAATATAATAATGATAATGATAATGAGGATAATGTTAATAATGATGATGATGAAAATAATAATAATAATAATAATAATAATAATAATAATAATAATAATGATAATGATAATAATAATATTATCAATAATACTAAAAATGATGATGATGATGATGACGACGACGACGCTGGTGATGAGGATGTTCGGTATCATAAGGCGTCATTTGATAAACATCATCGTATATACCGTACACCTCCCAAAATAGCATTGCAAAATTCATTTCGTTTTGTTTCCTTTGACCAAAACCTACACAATTACACAAAAAGTTCATAATATTATTAAGCTTCAACAATAATTTACTTTATTGAAAATTTCATGCTTTCTTAAACACGTTATCAGGTAGGGGTGGCGTCATGATTTACCAGGAAGGGGCCCCGAGGTCCCCAACGGGGGTGGGTGGGGGGAGACTCCCCCCCCCCCCCGACGAGGGATCAGACTTCTTCGATTAAAAGGTTTCGAAAGTGGTCCAGGGGGGGGGGGGCAAAGCTCCCGAAAAGTTTGACAATTTATGGGTTTCAAAGGCTTATTTAATTGATTTTAGAGTCTACTAATACTATGTAGAAAATACATATAATTTTTGATTTCTCCCCGACGAATTGTGCTTTTTCTCCCCGACGGAGGGTGTGGGGAAGCCCTCCCCGACGAGGGGAAAATTTTTGTTGATTGTATTCATGAATATGTTTGGTTGTGGAACTTAAAAAGAGAAAAAGGTAAATAGATTTGTGACACACTCATCGTAAATGTAATGTATTTCGTACGGTAACTTCCTTCTTCTCTATAGTCACTTTCTGAGCTACCCGGTAAACTGGTGTCAGCTACTCAACCAGAACCCATTACTCGTTTCGAATACTCGGTTCTTTATAGTGCATACTAGCAAATGTTGTACACTGAGCCTATAGAAGGAATAAAGATTAGATTAGTTAAAACCACACACTTAATCATTGGGAAGCGAAGGTTCTAGAAAAGACTTTATTTTTGAATGAAAAGTAATCGACACTGTAGGCATAAATAAGAATAAGTATATGCATTTGGGGTAGGGAGACAAGATTCCCAATTGTTAAAGCACTTAATTATTTAATACGTTTTTTATTGGATAAAAAAACATCTTTATATATTACAACAGCATGTATATTACAACACCATCAATATTATCACACACGCTTTTCAAACATAGAAAATTATTATTGTATACAGCAGTACCACTGTACTGAAATGTAGGTAAAAGTGGCCCCTGGAAAAAAATTGCCCCTGAGAAAAAAAAAAACCCCTGGAAAAAGTCCCCATGAAAAAAAGCCCGGTAGAAACGGCCCGGTAAAAATTGTCCCAAATGACAGGAGGTACCGTACACCTACTGCACTGTGTTATAGAGGGTACTACATAGTCGCACCTACTGCACATAAGGTACAGATATATTTTTTAGTTTTCGGTTTTTCTAGTTTTTTTTTTTTTTAAATAAAAATCTCATTTGACATTTTATCTCAGCCTCAATTTGTTCTTATTTTGTTTTTAATATTTAAGCAATTTCAGTCTCAGTGTTCTTATGAAATGTGTTCTTATAAAAAATTGAATTGATTTTCTATGTTTGAAAAGTATGTAAAAATAAGAACAAAATAAAAACATTTTGAGCCTGAAAGCGGCCAAAAAATAAGAACACCAAGCTTGGGAAACATTTTACTTGGTCTTAAAAAAAAGTGTATGTGGCTATACAAATTTCACTTTATTAATCGATCGACAGAACAACAGCCGACTGGTCGTTCGATCGGTTCGTCATTCAGTCAGTCACCACGTTCTTAAGTTCCACACTTAACTGCTTGTCTCTCATTCGTTCATCAGCATCTACACCACTGTTAATGAATTCGACATTTTTTGATTCGTCACTGTACCAGTTTCGTTGTAGTAGTCATTGCACTCAATAACTTGGGGTCATATTGCCGAAGATTCGTAAAAAAATGAAACCTAGTTGGTTAAAAAATGTACATAAAAATGAGTTGATTAGTTTTGGCCTACACATGTTTCTCACTGCTGTTCTTGTTACAGAACTTTAAAAGCGTCCACCATCGCCAGTTTTCAACGGACGTGCAGGAAACTTTGTACCAACAAGCGTTCATCGCCCTTTTTTAAGTTAGACCCCAGGGTTTCCCTACACCTACAAAACAAAACAGGGTTTTCAGCAAGGACTGTTACTGCCATTACCACTAATAGGGCACGTCGCATTGATGGTGTGGTCGGTTAAGGATGTGTTCTAAAGAACTTGAGGCTGTGAGTTCGAATCGCGTCCATGGTATTCATTTATTTTTCCAATTTTAAGAAATTTAATTTTTTTTCCCATTTTAAGATATTTTAATTTTTTACAAATAAACATTCTAAATAATATTTTTTTTTTACAAATAAAGATTCTAATTATTTAAAAATGTCTATCTTATTAAATTAGCTCTTCAAAAAGACCCAATAATAACTTGCGCCTGTACCGTATTTAAGCGTGGAGGAACTCACGGACCCGGAGAGCGGTCGCTCTTGTTGGTTTTAGCAGGTCCTGTTTTGCTTTTCTTTTTGTCTTTTCTTTGCAAGTAGCACATTTTCATTGATTGTATTGATGTTGTGTGTTTAGTTGTGGAACTCAAAAAGAGAAAATAAATAGATGTGACTACACTCATCGTAGGCCTAAGTTTAATGTAGTTCGTACAGTACTTTCTTCTTTTCTTTGAACTACCCGGTAAACTGGTGTCAGCTACTCAACCAGAACCCCTTACTCGTTTCAAAACTTGGTTCTTTAGTGTACATGAGCTAATGTTGTACACTGGGCCATAGGCGAGCTTGTCGCTCGGATCAGCCGCCAATATTTTGGAGGCGCTGCTGCCTTAACCGCTAGGCCAATCTACTCGCCTTGTAAGTTTGAGCCATAAGATTAAAATTGGTTTTCGTTGTGTCAACGCCGTTATTGGTGAAGTAGTCCCTAAGTATGGCTTCAGTGCATAAAGTTATTTTTGAAATGACCGAAAAAGACTTTAAAACCAGCATTTATGAAGCACCAGACAAGACTGACGTCAGAAATAATACAGGGAATGACAGATTAGATTTAAGCTAGCCTAAAACCACACACCAAATAATTGGGAAGCGAAGGTTCTAAAAAAGATGTTTCATGGTTCGAATGAAGAGTAAACGACGATGAGGCATACATAAGAATAAGGCCTATGCGTTTGAGGGCGGGGTGCCAAAACAAATTGTTGGAGGACGTCATCATTAAATACGTTTTTTATTCGATAAAAATATCTTTATATAGGCCTATTACAACATCATTAATATTATCATCATCATCAATATTATTATCAATGTTACTATTATTAAATTATCATTTTACAAACGCCCTGATATATATGGACAAAGCATAAAATATTTACCAGACACAAACACACGTACTCCACCTACAACCGGATACTTCAAATCGCCATTTTATATCGACACGTTCAATTCTGACCACATTCAGCAGTTTTAAAACAGGTTTACAAAACTGTGGTTTATCTTGAAGTGTACTTTTCGCAAGTGTGTCTCGTAAAATAATAAATACGGGACAATGCGATTGTTTTAATCACTTCCGAGTATTGTTAAAAAAAATAGATTTTTTTCCCTGTATAAGCTAACATTATAGGATGAAGCAGAATGGCAATTGTCTTTTAAAATTATAAAGAAAAGTTATTACAAATTAATAATTTAACCTGTCATCCGACAACCTTTCAAAAATATGCTGACTGTTATAAACTGACTGAATGCGCTACAACGTGTGAAGTGACAGGTGATTAGTTGAACTTACGTTGTCTGTATGATATAGGTAGGCGTACATAGGTTAATTTGAACTACATGCCTCCTGTCGCTTCGATTGGCACCAGACCTAA